TTTACAAATGGCCGCGCCCATTTTTACGACAAGAAAAAGGAGGATAGGCACATGTTGGGTGCTTTGGATGTAAACAAGAAGGCATGCTTGTTCCTTTCCAGGAGTATCTGTGCATTGGGCGCTTCTGAATGAGCCAGTCAACAGATTTCAACGCCAAAAATCATCTTCATAAATCAGTCTGCTAACTGTACACACAGACCCTGACCCCAGCTGCTCAAATGATGGACACAACCACTGATTCACTGCTAAACCCAGTAATCATTCGGTTTACACTGGATGTTTTAAAAGAAAACGGCTTAACGTGAGTTCTAAATGCCTTTACAAGACTATCTGTAAAAGTAGCCAGCAGTTGTTTCTCACCAATCTAGTAAAGGACATTTGTTCTGAAGCGTTTTCCGCTCATGTCCCGCCTCCTCCTAATCGCTATTTGCTATGCTAGCTACGTCAATATGAACGATTCCTAAACTGTCCAATCGTGACCGCCTTTGTAGCCTACTAGCCAATCCTGGCTCAGGAGGGCGGGGCGTGTGTGATTCAAGTGAGGGAAAATAACTGCTGTCCAGTCCACACACAGAATGAAACGGGTAGAATGGTGTTGCCTGGCGTGGTAGTTGCCTAGAAATAGTCTCTAATTAGCCATATTTTGTGAATATAATTAAAACATGTTATATTTTCATTCAACAGCTTTCGAAGGTGATCTCGCTATTTTGAATCAAGCGCCGCTCAGACCGCTACTGTTTAGTCACGTGGTATGTGTTACTTTTCTCACCGCTGGGTTAAATGGACTAATCACATTCCTTTGTGATTAATTGTTAGGCGAATGGAATTCAATACATGCTTAAAGCACATTTGTAAACATCACTCAAAAATCAATCCTTAGTGTGAACAGATTCAAACGATTATACATTTCTATTTACAAATGCCTCCAATATTGAAATAACCGAGCTGCTGGTTGAATGCAGCTCAATGGGAGTTTCGCTCTGTGGGCCTCAGGGAGCCCCCTGGAGGACTGTCGTAAGAACCCGTTATTAGCCAGCAGCATTCGCCGTCTAATGTCCGCAGCCTCGTTTCTGTGAACCATGTGACGTGTGTTTACATCCTCTCAGCTGTTCCTCGAGAAAAACAGCGCTGGATCTTCAACGCCACGGAAATCTATACATCACACAACAACAGTGCGCCCCAAAACACCAACTCGAATGTGCATCCAGCGTGTTTTGCTCGTGCTAAGCCCGAGACCGATTCATGGCTCTACAAAGGTCAGTGAACATTGTTATTCCGCAGAGATGATGCCGACATTTTTGTTTTGCTGCTTTGCGTTGATCTGAGGAAGATGTGGCAGACATTGAAATGCAAGCCTACTAACTTGGTTTAGCGCGTGCGATAAAGGCCAAAATGGCTGTTTTGAAGAATGCACGAATGTTTTATTGTCTATTAAAAGGTTTGCTGTGCCAGGTCAAACACAATGCCTCCGTCTTCCTGGTTTTCTCAGACCTGCAGCGTTTAAATGTCATCTAACAGCATGGGTTTCTTTAGAAACCGAATAACTAGAGTTTTTTTTCAGTCTCTCTCAGCTTATTTTCATCTGAATTACAGACGATAGTTCAGAAATTCATAGGCGTTATATCCAGATGCTGCAAGTTTGCTAATACTTGTAAGAAAAATAATAACAATAGCAGTACAACAACTGTCTCTGAAGCTTTATTTCATAACAACTTCCTTTTTCGAGCTTTTAAAATAATTTGCTTTACGCTTTTTGTTCATTACACGACACGCATCATAACAAAGGCCAGATGCACCGGGAGTTTCTGCTCATAAATATTTTAAATGTCACGTGTTATTGCGTAACCTTGTTGTTAATTAGATCTGTAGAGTTATTTTATTAATATATGCATGCAAGTCCTGCTTGAGAGATTATGGCGGATCTAAACATGCGAAACGCTTATATTTTCTCTCTCGCTGCTGCTTTGATATTGATTATAGCTACTACCACATCTGATCGTCTCAGGCATACTGTATAGATTTAATGCGCTCTAACTCAGTTTTGTTTTAACGCAGTGCGGATGTGTGTAGTGTTTTAGAAGTGCGTCGTGAACTATAGAGCTGTACGCGTTTGGACCATAGACTGTATAAAAACATGGACGCAGTGTCCGTGACGTCA